TCGCCAGAAAGACCCCCCCCTTCACTACAACCCATGTCTAAGCAAAAGCTTAACCCTAACACTGACGATGTTCATCTATCACACATGGGCAATGTCCATCTATCAGACATGGACGATATCCATCCATCACGCATGGATGATGCCCATCCATGTACCCATGTATCGATCTGCACTCACCAGGACATAGACCACGACACGGCCGGAAGCGTGACCCTCCTAGGCTTCGTCGTCTTGGTCTTCGCCGCTGCTGCCTGACGACCCTTCAACGACACCGTCAAATCATCATCCACCACCGCCGCTGCATCGCCGTTGGAACCATTGGTGTCATTATCGCTTGTGTTCGAGCGGGCCGAGCTATTTACAGGCGGCCCTCGGCTATCGTTTGATTTTCGTGCGTCAAGCACATCAAGCACATCAAGCACGAATGGGAGAAGTGTAAGGGTTATAATGTAGCAAGCGTCGAGTCATTGACCGACCAAGGCGTGTGTAATCACGGAAACGCGGGGCAACTGATTCTCGCACTCGAGCGGTCATGGAGGGCGCTATGATTTGATTGGTCGGGGGCAAGAAAAACCGTTCGCGAAGCGGGCGCGACGATGATTGGTCGAGCTCAAGAGTCAAGAGCATGGACTGGACCGCAATGGTTGGGAGGTGAAGGCAACGAGCGAGGTGGAGACGGAAGAACCACATAATAGAGGACTAGGACTCCAAATTAACAAGAAAACTGAGAACCGTCGGGAGGAATATGAAAGCCAACGAAGCCCCCCGATCCCCTCGTAAACCCGACGTTGCATTATAGGGTACGAGTAACCTCTGTATCAGGCTGATCGACCTGTATGCTTTAGGCTGGTGACATACCCGTATTAGTCGGAGAGATGGCACCGGTTGGGGGGATGGCGCCGGGTGCGATCTCTACGACCCTCAAATCCAAGATTGAGCTTATTTTCAGCTGCCGGAATGAGGTACATGTCCGTACCTTTTTCATGGGGGACGGTGTCAGCGGAGCGCCACTCGAATGTACGTATGCATGGTCGCGGTTTACGCAGGATGCCAGTTGTTTGCATCTTTCAAGGTATGGAAGTTGTATGCTATGAAAGCTGCCAAGCATGCACTCAATCAACCAAACACACAACGTACAAACCGCACCCTATACCCCACCTTACACAACACGAAACTGTTGTTCTGCTGCTTACGTACGTACTGGTATCCGTAGAGGAAGACCGAAACGAAAGCAGGAGACCACTGATACCCTATGTGCCGGTACCTCCCATGGATTCATCGTTTGTTGTCTTCATCATGCCATAGCCAAACTCGTATCAAACACAAGAACACTTGCTGCATGGAAAGCTGTTACACACCAGCCTCAGTTTCCATTACCGGTGTGCTTCCAACCAGCAACAACGGTACCTACACGTGTGGTTCTAACTGATCAATGCCTATACTGGTATCAATACTATGGTTCCGGTCGGGGAGATTGCACACGGGTGCGTACGAGTAACACCTGTGTGTATTTCATCGGGGCTCGCACCGGTCGGAGGGATCGCACGGAGTTGCCTCGAAAAAAACAGATGAAATCATTTAATTGCATTTCCGCACCGGGGTCGGAGAGATGGCACTGGGGTGCCGTGAAAAAAACAGAAAAAACATTCAAAAAAACGATTGCACCCGGTGCCATCTCTCCGACTATTTTGGTAGGCGGTGTACTCAATTCATATCATACCCGATGCTCGGTATATGGCGGGCCATCCTCCTGGGCAGCAAAGAATGCGGCCTTACATTCATGGACCAAAACAATAGTTGACCAGGTTCTCCCATCTCCACTCAAGCGTGATTTTACTTCCTCTTCGTTGTTCAAATATATACATACCTTGATCAAATTGCTAAATCTCGATTGTGGCATTCAGGCTGATTATACCATGATGTAATAAATCTTAGGATGTCTTGTTTGCCTGCCTCTATCCCACCCCTCCCCTCCGCCCCTCTCACCTTTTCCTAAACATTCTTGGCTGAACAGGAAACTTGCTTGTGGGGGGTGAAAGCTAGGCCAATCGGAGAACGACACACATTCTCCTCGCCGCAGTACGTAGCCTCCTTCGTTCCGAGTTCTGGGCGACGAGAACGCACGGTACAGCAGCATGATGCATACGACAGTACACGCGTTGAAACTTCCGACCAACTATTTTCAACGGTCATTGGTCCATAATTCCTACACTTGGTAGATGGGCTACGGCAACAGCAGTATCGGGCGCATGAACAATGCGTCCCAGGTGAGAAAATGAAATAATGAACTAGTTTCACGGGGCGCTGCTCTGGAGCATTCATGTGAAAAAACCGCCTCGTCCTGTATTTGCGGGGGATTCACTTGGTCCGCCTCCGCCTGTCTCCGAAACAAACCGAAAATGCCAACAATAACTACAATCAGAAAGTGCGTATCCAAGTGAACTGACAGTTGTGGACCAAGTATCCTCGGCATCATTTCCAAAGGTGACGCAAGATGCCATGGTAATGGCACGCACCCCGGAGCCATTTTCAAAGCTCGATTGCTCCAAAGCAGAGACAGCGGCGGTGCCGAAAACGGCGGCGTGGGAACCGTCTCGTCCAGATTACGAGTCACATGTTTTTTTGGCATCCTCTTCGTCGTGGATCATTCTAGCTTTGAAATCGGTGCTGGGGGGTGTGGTATCTTGTGTCACGTACGGTCGAATCATGCGCAACGACCCGGCCCGACTGGTGTGTAGTTGAACAGAGTATGAACAGAGTCACGTGTTTGATCAATTCGAGAAACGGGGCATATCCATGCCCACATGTCCAAGCAGCCTCGTGCATCTCGAGTTGCGTTTCGGGTACACTGCCCATTTCCCCGGCTAGTCATATTTTTAACTACAGAGTATGCACATAGCGACGACTACATTCAGCATGGTGTAGAATGCGTACTCTCCCTTCTTCCCCTCGCTCCTCGACAAGCTTTTGCTTAGACATGGGTTGTAGTGAAGGGGGGGGTCTTTCTGGCGAGCAGGGCTAGACTCACCCTCAAGGGATGACCGAAACCTTCTTGCTGCTGCGCATATCCGCCGCGAGGCATGCGCGTGGTGGTGTAGTTGGGTCGGCACTGATGGGGTCAGGCGAAAAAATGTAGATGCGCGGGCCTCTGGCCGTCGGCGTAGGCAGCGATGCCCATCTCATTTTTTGTGCGCGGAGGCAGACACCGTCAGAAGGTGGACGGGAACTATGTACACGGCCCTAGGTTGGCTAGAGGGCGCTGCATTGCCTCAGTAACCTGGCTTCGCCATCAAAGGAGGAGGGAGCAGGTGGCGACGAGCTGAACTGGGCTGGTTGACCCCTTCGGCGCGAGAATTTTCATTTTTCACACCAAGAACCTTGAGTGCAACGAGTGAGAAAGC